CGAACAGATATATCTGATCTCCATGGAATATATATTTATATTTCTTTATTAAATCTTATTTGAATTTACTTTTCTTTTTGTATCAAAATTTGTTTGATAAACTAGACAACGGAATGTACATTTTACTTATTTTTCTTATCTTTTATAATGCATCTAAAAGACTAATATATACAAGATATTATGTAAAATATTTGTGTTCGAATGGAGTGTCATTTGAAATATATATATTGAGTGATGTATTATTTTAGGCATACATATTGTCTATACTGTTAAATTAACAGTATCTTAAGTGGTTATTATAGCAAATAATTATACCTACGTGAATTATGGACATGTAGTGTAGTAGTCTGAGAATAAAATGTAAAAAGGAGTGGTTCTGATAGCATCATCCACTTGAAAGTCATTATATACTTGTTCACAGCGAACCAATGATTACGAATGTCCATTAAATACTTATTCGAATGCAATCTTTTGTCTTAATCAATAACCAATATTATAATCTCTCATTGTTGTCGTCAACTAATTAAATTGAAGGAAACTCTAAGTATTCATTCTTGTGCATAATCGATCGACGATTACATACGTACGCACAATTAAATCAAGTTCTTTTTCTTTTGTTCTTGCATTAGCATAGTAGTCATACTTCTGACTTATCTATTTCCTTACTAAAAAAAAAAAGCAAGATTAATTCTAAGAATTTATAAGTTTTCTTTTCTTTTCTTTTAAATAACCGGATATGATCAATAAACTTCAATGTGTCATCTTTATCGTCACCGGAAATGTTCGTATTCTTGCATGATTACGTGAAAAAGTTATATTGATGCATGATAGACTTTTACGCAATATGAGAAAGTATCGTCCTTTATATGTCTACTAATATATTTGATTAGTTAAAAAAGTCAATGTCTAAACAAGGTCTAGGTTTCATCACAGTCATTAAAGAGTAGACCACAAGAAAAAATGAGAAAATCGATTCATCATGTTATACATAAAGAATTCATCTAACTTACTGTAATTGTCAATCTAGATTTTATAAAGGTTTCATGTTTGTTGACATTAATCTAGTACTACTAGTATTACAATTTATACCGTTATGTGGTCTCTTTTAGTCTTGATAAATATAAATACTTCTGATAATGAACTAGACTTATTCGTTCTAGTTAGACAAAAATCGTTTTGTCTATGAGTACATACACGAAAAAAAAAATCAATGAGCAGTTTTAATTATGAATATTCGACACTATTTCGATCATTGTTTGTATAAGCTACTAATTTTGTATGATATCCCACAGTGAATGTGTATTATAAAAACATACAACGCACCAATTGTTTAAATTATAAGCGATGCCGATCAAAGATAATAATACAGTAGACAAGTGCAGTCTGTGAACTTTTGTATCATGTTTTCTTGATACATGGATTGTTCCCCTCTATTGGAAAACAAATGATAACATCAATTGATGCGTTACAATTAGCTATGATTATCATGAAATCTGTCTGTTCAATTATCGAATAACAAATAAGAAATACACATATGTTTTTGAAAATGAGAATCTTTGATCGATCGTGATTTTTAAATAGTTTTTTCATAATTGTGATTGGTAGAATAGATAAAAAAAAAAGAATATCCATTTTATTTAGAAGGATGGATCATCAATAGTAGTGTGATGAATATTCATTGGTACCACGACTGATGTATTGAGCCTAGAGGAAGAGAGTTACATTAAGATAATCAATTGATAAAATACATGAAACTTATCATAGATCAGTTGTAGTGAATTCATGCATTATTTGTATACCACAATGATAGCCAAATTGTTTTTCTATTTTATCAGAAAAAATATTTGAATTAACATATGATTGATATGATGTGTCAAGTGAATTTTTATTGAAATTTCTTTCAAAAGTTATAATTCTATTTAATATAAACCTGATACGATAAATTTTGTTTTGTTTATAATTTCAATCATTAAATTCAATTTCATAGAAGTGAGGTATACAATAATTTTTCGTTTGGATGTAATTAATTAAACATTGCTTTCGTCTTTTGATACTATTCTTTTTCGGAAAGTTTTCGTAGTGGAAAAAGTTTAAAACTACTAAGTAAATATTATGTAATTAATTTTGTTTATATGTACTATTTCATACTTCATAGATATTGATGACGTTTATGACTATTTAATAGATAGATATAAGGAAATATGCCATTAGAAAAAAAGAAACTCAACAGTAGACATCAACTGAAATAATCTCAAAGATATAAATAGATTGCATAATAAGTTGTTTTGCTCATCGACTGGACACATGAAAATTATAGGGCAAAAACATATCGATAGGTGAAAATTTAACTGTTCTATTGATGAGTGTTTCATTGTTTGAAATTCATCTTGATCCAGACAGTAAGCATTATATAATGATATATACATCTATATGAATGCTATGCCAATAGTGATGGGAACTCTTTTTTTCTTTTTAAACAATGAAAACCGTTGTTTATGAACTGATGCAGTTTTAAAGTAAACATACTTTTCAAATTGATTGAATAATTGTTCATTTCAAGAATCTCAGTCACAAATGAATGTTAAAATTCAACTCTATCATGAATAAAAACATATGATTAAATATTGGATAACTTGTCTGTAACTAGTAAAACGTTAGAAAATAAGAAGATTATTTTTACTTGATAAAATCTGAGACAACAATTGGAATATCTTCATGTTTCGGTGCCCTTGAATAGACTGATTGTGTTGGTTAGAGTACTAAAAAAATTTCACCTATTGTCAAATAAAAAAAAGATATAAATGAATCATTTCATAGATAGGTTTCAACTCTTATCTAAGTGAATAATAAAAAGTCAAAATAAACTTACTGAATGACACTATATTGATGTACACGATATGATTTTCCAAATTTAGTTAGTTTGAATGGTAAAATTCATAGCAATAAGTGACCCACCTCGTGTTCTGTGTAATAATCGTCTAACAATAACCTATTTTTATTCGATAAGATCTTTTTTATATACAGTTGGTGGTTTATTCAAAGTTAAATAAAATTAAAGGAAAAGATTCAGTTAAAAGAGTAAAAATAAAGTTTTCAACATAGTCATCAATAAAAAAATATTATTTGTTCTAGAATAGACTAACTACTTACTTCTTAAAAAGTACCAAGGATATGTGATTTTCTTTAGCATATAAATTGTGATTCAGAAACTCTCATTCGTTTCTGATAATAAACGTTCTTGTAGCATTGTCTTTATAAAGAAAAGGTACAGTAAAATGCTCTCTTCGAAATGACAATAAAATGATCCCTCGAGTTGATTTAGCAAGAGAGTTATTAGTCTACAAATGTCTATTATATTTAAAAGCCAATTAACCATTATTATTTGAATTAGCAACGATGAATTGGTAAACTCACTGTAACTCAAGTAATCAATTTACATTTCAATCAATTGTTTTACTACTGTCATAAATTGTTCTGTTCTAATAGTTCTGAATATAATATATGTTAATCGATCTTTCAATTATTTTCTTTTTAATATTCGATTTATTTTTCTTCTTAATCATTCTTGACAAAAAAACGAGAAGAATTTTCATAGGAATCAATACATGACAATGGTTATATCTAATTAACATATTAGATATTCTATTCATCATTAAACAATGCCCAAGTAATTTCAAAATATAAATTAATTGCTCTAGTTACAGTTAATTCATCGTTTCATTTTTAATGATCAAAATATTCCTGGTTAAAATGCTTGAACAATTTATATTCATTTCAAAAAGCACATTTTAGTGTGTTTTTTCTTTGTTAAAAAAAAAGTTATGCAAGAAGATTTATTGGTATAAAAACAGTCATTAAAAGAAACCAGTCGTAACGTCTAACTAACGACTACAGTTAAACATTCTACAGTTTTAAACGAATTGTTTTATAAATCATACTAATCAAAACATGGTTCAAGAGACATAATCGTAAAAAGTGCTAGTTGTCAATAAAATAATTTAAAAAATGACTAATAAAGGATATTTTTTAGATGTGATACAAATAAATTCTGGAATAGTTTTCTCTAAACTAGAACTGAGACTGAATAAGTTAAAATTGCCGAAACTAGACTAGGTTTACCGAAACCATGACTGTGATTGGAACCCAAAACTTTGACTTCACATCAGTGTTCGACATTGATCAAACGTTTGTAACCAGATCCGAGCTGACCCAAGTTGGACTCTGATATCGACTACCTTTCTCCGCCTTTTGAGAAAATCAATGTCTCAATCCTTATTTCTTCCATTCATTTCGTAGTTGTAAACACGGTTAATAAGTCCTTGACTTTTTTACGTCCTTGGTATTTGGCTGTTATTCCACAGTTGGATCAACATAATCATCTGACATAATTTTTTTATTGTTTGTCTTTCTATTCTTATGTATACAATCTGTAACCTTTATATCACCATTGAAGAGACAATGCATTCGCTATGCATCATTGTCCAATGTTATTACAAAGTTGGTGACATAGAAGAAACAATCGTGTCATGCATGACTTCTTGTTCCATTTAATTTTTCCATGCTTTCTCATGGAATTTTTAAATGCAAAAGCATTCAAAATGTCTTTTGTATTTTCAAAATTCTCAGACTGCACATATATCCTGAAATTCAAAATTTTTTTGGTAGTCCGACTCAGGTCGGACTCAGCCTTGCACATCTCTAATTCTCACCTATTGTTTAGTATATCTCTGATATATGTTCGATTCATACGAAATAGTTATAGAGATAAACAGTATTATAAAATGAATGAAAATTTCATATAATGAAAAAACAATTTTTTTTATTAACTAATCTGAGTTAATAAAAATGATCCAATACACAGCGTCATCTGTAAACTACTTTTCTCGATGAATCATACATGTATTCTTGTTGAAGAGAGCACTAGAAAGATAAAAATTATACCTATATGTTTTTTAGATCTGAAAAAATCAGCAAACTTATAAATAAAACTATATGAAATAATGAGTATTTTAGCTCGTAGTCTTTATGCTTATCGATTTTTCGAAATTGTAAATCGTGTATGTTTAATACAATCAGGTAAAATATTCGAACTATACTCTTTTACTATTTTGGTTTTTTTGCCTGATAATTACCGAAATTTTTTTTTTAGTATCATGTCTTTCGGATTCAACAACAACAACAGGTAAAGATCAAACAAACACATCAAATGAATCATTACGTTCATGTGATTTTGAAATATTTGGTGCTGTTCAACATGTTTATTTTCGTCAACATACGCAACAACAAGCTACAAAATTAAATCTTATTGGATGGGTTAAAAATACTGAAATGAATACAGTAAAAGGACATATGGAAGGACTAAAAACTAATATAGATCAAATGAAAATTTGGCTTCAAACAAAAGGAAGTCCAAAATCAAAGATAACTAAAGCAGAATTTACAAATGAAAAATCGATTACAAAATTAATTGGAAATACATTTGACATTAAACGATAAAAATAAATAAATGTTTTAGTTCCCGACATCAATCATTGACTTTATATAGTTGTAGAAATTAATTTTGTATTTCAGATCGAATGGTTTTCATAACTCGTATTCGTCATGCAATTCAACAACGTTCACGAATGTTTCTTCCAACACCAGTTCATTTGCCAAAAAAAAGTCATTCTAAAAGTCAATCAGTAATTGATTTTATTTTATTTTAAATCAAATTTGAACTTTTTTTTTTTTTTTATTAGTTATTTCAAAAAGCAGCTATTGTTCATAGTGTAGAACATGGATTTCCACAATTATTACCATTAGGTAATATAAAAAAAAAAGAAGAAGATTATTCATCAATGATGAATGTTGTTTCTTTGTTTTTTTTAAAGGTTTTCGTGTTTTAACGAAATTAAAAACTTTAATTCGAAATGAAATGAATAATATTGGAGGACAAGAATTATCACTTCCAGCAATTGGACGAAAAAATATTTGGGAAACAACTGGTATGAATTGATTATATTATTATTTTGAAGATTTTTTTAAAGATTAATTATAGATCGATGGAATTTAATGCATAATGAATTATTTAAATTTAAAGATCATGATGAAGAATATTGTTTAAGTCCAGTAAATGAATATAATTATTCGTTTTTTGAATAAAGATAGATTTTTTTTTTTTTTGTTTGATGTTAGACTCATGAAGAAGCAATTACTAAACTTGTTTCATCTGTATGTAAAACAATTCCACGAACCAATTATCCATTATTAGTTTATCAGGTAAATTATTAATTAATTAATTGTTTAATAAATAGAATATGTTTATGTATCATTAGCAAATCTAGATTACATGGAAATATCGTAATGAATTGAATTATCGTCATGGTCTTTTACGAACAAAAGAATTTCTTATGAAAGGTGTTTTGATTTTTTTTTTTGTTGTTGATTTAAAGTCTTTTTATTCTTTTCTATATTATTGTTTTAGATCTGTATAGTTTTCATATAGATGAAGATTGTGCACGACAAATATATGATCAAGTATGTGATGCATATGAAAGAATATTTCAAAAATTAGAATTAAATTGTTTTAAAGGTATATATATTTCATTATTGATTATATATAAAATATTATTTTGAGTTTGATTTTTATTTAGTACCAGCTGATAGTGGTCTGATGGGTGGTTCATTAAATCATGAATTTTTAGGTGTAGCAGCTGTTGGTGAAGATACATTACTTGTTTGTCCAAAGTATGTTGAGTCATGCTTAATAAAATTTTCAAAAACAAAAAAAGGACTGTAAAAAGTTTTGAAGAGAAAAATGATCATGACGATGAAGTCTATGACAAACAGTAGAAACTATTTGAGATATCAAGAAAGCAAAACTTTTTTTCTTTTTATCTCTTTTCTTTTATTGACTGTTATAAAACTCGTAGTTTTCGTTTTCAAAAGAAATATTGAATATCTAAAATTATCAATCTAACTATAAATATTTATATATTTTAATTTCATAAATTCTTTCCCAGTACTGGATAGATGCTAGCTGAGATTTTGTCAGCAATCCAATCGAGACTACATTATTTGATAAATTCTTTATCTTTTTCTATATCAGGTAATATCTAATCTTCTATATTTATCATTTATTATTAGAAGCATACTCTTTCTTTTGATATATCTCACGCTGTTTGTAAACACTTTATTACGAGAAAATGATATAAATCATATTTTTTTTGATTGGCTCCTCATTGAAATATTATTAACGACTAAAAAAAAAATAAACAGTTGTTTCAAAATATCAGTAATATATATATATATATGTTTAGATGTAATCGTGGATATTTAAAAGATTCAGCTCAATGTGAACATACAGAGAAAATTGAACAACAAGCTATTGAACTTGGTCATTGTTTTCTTCTTGGTGATCGCTATACAAAAGCATTTAATGCAACAGAAGGATCATCCGATATTGTAGCTGAGAAAAAGTAAAACAAAAAATGAATTTTGTAATACAGATCTATTTCTTCTTGTAATAGACCATTAATAATGGGTTGCTATGGTATTGGTTTAACACGTTTAATGGCAGCAACAGTTGAAATACTCACACCAGAAGAATCAAATGATATACGATGGCCAAGACGAATTGTTCCTTATCAAGTCGCTATTTTACCACCAAAAGTTTGTCATGTTTTGTTTGAATTTAATTCAAGGAAAAATTATTGATCAATTTTCTTTCTTTTTTTTTTAGAAAGGTAGTCCTGAAGAAATAAGTGATAATGAAAAACTTCTTGGTCGTTTGTTACAACTTGATAATACGGAATGGTTTGTTGATGATCGTACTGAATTAACTATTGGTTATCGATTAAAAGATTGTCAAAAAATGGGTATTCCTATTGTTATAGTATTTGGAAAACGAGCTGTAAGATTTATTTCTATAAATATTAATCTATTCATTTATTTATATATTTAGACTAAACAAAATTTGTGTGAAGTAATCGATGTATACAATAATCGAAAAGAATATTTATCTTATGAAGATACGTTAAAATTTATTCACGATTATTATTCAGTTTTTTGTTAGACATTATTTGGTTTTGTTTTTAAAGAAAAAAGAAAAGAATTTAGAGATGTTAAGCTTTATTTATAAAATTGTTTTTCTTTCAGACAAAAAACATGCCCTCATCATTTTCTAAGTCCAATGGTACTTATGCGGCATTAGCTGTTGGAGCTGTTGCAGTTACATATGCTGGTACACATGCATATAAATCACGTATTCAACGAAAATATGATGATGGAATTGATCTTAAAAATCAAACAGTTGAAGTCGATCCTGTGGAACATATACGTCGTTGCACTTTTTATAAAGATATTGATATTTTTTCATTTTATAAAACAATTTTGCCTACTGTAGAAACATTAGGTGATGTTTTCTATAATGGTTATTTGACTTCTAAAAATGGACCATGTATAGGAAATATTGATCCAGTAAATAAAACAGCAGAACTTCAATGGATGTCCTATTCGATGGCATTAGAACGTATACGTCTAATTGGTTCACATTTATGGACAGAAGCTAAACTAACGCCAATGAAATCAACAGTTGCTATTATTTCACTAAATCGACCTGAATATTCATTTGTTGAACATGCTTGTTATATGTATGGATTTACTGTTCTGGGTCTCTATACAACCTATGATTCATCAACTATTTTATCGTTATTAGAAAAAACACAAACGGAAGTATTGGTTGTTGATAATTTACAACGTATTGAATCATTTAGAAATCAATTGTTGGAAAAAACTTATCTAAAAGAAATTCTTATTATGGATGATGTAACAAGCAATGAATATGAAAGAATTAAAAATTTTCCAACTATTTTAAAAACTATGCAACAATCAGATGTTCGTTCACGACCTAAAATTGATCCAGAGAGTATAGCTACATTTATTTTGACAAGTGGAACAACAGGTTTGATGGAAAAGATAGTTTTGAAAAAAATTAATAATATTTATATTTAAGGTGAACCTAAAATAGCAATGTTATCACATACAAATTTATTGGCAACACTGAAAGGTATTATTGACCGTCGACAACGTACTAAGATAGAAGCTCAACCCAGTAGTAGACATTGTTCATTTTTACCGATGGCTCACTTATATGAACGATTAGTACTCCTCAACTATTTTCTTCATGGTTCACAAGTTGTTTTTTGTCCTATACCAGAAAAACTTTTTGAATATTATCCAATTGTAAAACCGACAAATGTTTCTATGGTACCAAGAATTTTAAATAAAGTTTATGATACAATAATGACTGAAGTGGGTAAAAGTAAAATAAAACGTTTTCTTATTTCACAAGCATTACATAATGAACAACCAACATTATTTTCACGTTTTATTTTTCGAAAAGTAAAAAACTTATTTGGTGGCGAGGTCCTTGCCATGGGAACTGGTTCAGCACCAATACCACCTGAAGTATTACATTTTTTTCGTATAGCACTTGATATACCTATTGTCGAAGGCTATGGTCAAACTGAATCAACAGCTGCTGGTACAACTACACATGTTACTGATACATCATGTGGTACTGTCGGTTCACCGCTACCTTCGGTTGAGATAAAGCTTATTGATGTACCAAATACAAACTATCAAGCTAATAATAATCAAGGGGAAATTTGTATTCGAGGACCAACTATTTTTAAAGGTAAGTTTTCGAATTCATTCTAGCAATCAATCGGAGATCAAACACGAAACGTACATTAATTCAGATCATTCAAAGATTGATTAGTTACAATATGTGCAATCTAAGATTTATCTGATAATTTTAAGCGAATCTACATCGGCCTAGGTCCCATCTGACATTGAACATTAACATGTTTTTAAAAATTTAACTAACCTACTGTTCTTTTTTATACTGTAGGTTACTATGGTGATGAAGAAAGAACACGTGAAACTATTGACGAAGGTGGTTGGCTTCATACCGGTGATGTTGGTGTATGGACAAGTAATGGTGCTTTACGTATTATTGATCGTACAAAACATATATTTAAATTAAGTCAAGGTGAATATATTGCACCTGAACGTCTTGAAGATGGTTATGTTCGTTCTCGATGGGTTGCACAAATATTTGTTGATGGAATATCATCAGAATCTACTGTTGTAGCAATTGTTATACCTGATGAAGAATATGTACGAAAACAATTTCGAATGGCAAATCCAAATGTATCATTTCAAGATTTATGTAAAGATGAAAAACTTAAAGAAACTATTTTAGCTGACTTAAAACGATTAGCTAAAGAATATAAATATCAATATTATGAAACAGTTAGTAATATTTATCTTCATCCAGAACTATTTTCACAAGAAAATGGTTTTATTACATCTACATTTAAAACTCGACGAACAGAAGCTCGACAATATTTCCACAATATTATTCACTCACTTTATGAAGTTAGGGATAAAATAACAAAACCAACAAATGTTGAACAACAGTCAAAATTATAAATTCCATGGTGCTAATTTGAATGATTGATAATTTAAAGAATATTTTTTTTTGTTTTGTGATTCCATATTTGATTAGCTTTTTAATTGATTCAGTTGTTATACACACATTTTCTTTGAAATACAAATTTGATGATTTACAAAAACAAAAGGGAAACATATCGAACAAAAAGAGTAATGAATCATTGAGTGAATTAAAATGATTGTCACGCTCGGTATTTTGGAAATATATCAATATAAACAAATCCATTCCTTTGATGATATTCTTCTAAGATTAAAACTGAAGGACTATGCTATGGTCTAATATCTTATTATTTTAAGAAAAACACACTGAATATAATATCAATTATTTTGGATATACAATATTGGACAAAATTTTTTTGGATGAATGTATTTTTAATATAACTGGTGTATACAGCTGACTTTTGATAAACAGCTTGTGTCAAAATTACAGCCAGTGTCTATGTTATATACAAAGAATATTTTATTCCTAAAACATAGGTAGATTACAATATAAACAATAGGCTTATGAAAAGTTTAAGTTATTAAAATGTAGTTCGTGTTCTTCTCTCTGCATGGATATGTGTTCAGTATTTTTAGAACAACTCTGAAAAAACTAACTCAGTTTAACAGATCGTCCAACAAAACCTAACTAGCTCAAACTATTATATGTGCAGTTCTACTATGACTTAATATTTAGGAATAAAACGTTTTTTTGAATATAGGATAGATACTGACTGTACTTTTGACGCAAACCATCCATGGAACGTCAGCTTTATACAACAACTACATTGTAAACAAATTTATCTAAAATATATAGTTCAGTTTTGCATCTCATCATCAACGAATCATAATACTTTAAATCATATTTTTTAAACATGTGTTATGGAATTCTCTATTACGTTTGCATGAAAAGGTCCTTTGTATTATGCTGTTGAATTTTTAAGCGAAGAAACATGAAGATCTTTATAAAGTTAATTTTGTTCATTGTAACAATGAGAAAAAAACCTACAGAAATCTCAAGTATCATACATTATATAATATTTCACTTGAAAATTCATGATATCATGTAAGTATTTATTTAAAATACAACGAAGATCTTTTCGTAATGTTATTTTCGTTTATGTTTCTATCAAAATAATGAGACATGTAGCTATTAGATAGTGTTTCAGTTTTAGCCTTATAAGAAAATCATTAAAACAATTCCATGGGAGATCGTTCATTGCTATTCTTCTAGAAAGTTTGAGGGCGCATCTTTCTCTAACAAAAATTCAACGTTATAGGACTTTTCTGTATTGAGATATTTGCAAAATACTCGATAGTGCAATCATTTTGATGCACTCCGAGATGATATATATTTGAAACTCTTTTTATACAAGAGAACAAATAATTTTCTGTTGATTTTATTTTTATAATAGAAAAAACTTCGAAAGAGTAGGCATCGCATGTTCAAGTGATTAATTGAACATACTTCATTTTCAATCGAACAATATGATTCAAGTTTATTTCTGTATTACTGTCAATGCTATAATCTGATCATTTGTAATATTTTAATTCATTAGAACTCAAGAAAACAAGAAACAAAATAATTTATGTTACATCAGAGTTTACTCTTCCAAAAAAAAATCATGCAAAAGTGAAGCTTGACTCGTCTCTTTTATTTCTTATACAATCTTCCTATGAAATATTGTCATTATGTTCATTGTCACTTTGCTGTTGTGCTAATGGTGATGATGATGATGATAAATTAATCTTTTGTATAGCAATTACTTGCATGCCATCATTGGGTGTAACAACCATCATTTCTTTATGTCGTGTTCGAAGACGAAGTGTTAATAAATTGTCTGCAGGATCAATATCACGAATAACCGATCGAACAATATTAGCAAAAGAAAGTAATTTTGAACTTATGAAAAATGTAACATTATTATCTAATGATGTATATTGAAGTTGTGCTTGTTCATTTGTTACAATAACACCTTCAACAGTTGGATTATTTAATACACGTTTTAATATTGCTTCTTCAATTGGTGATAAATCTATTTAAAATAAAGTCGTATAGATAACAAAATTTATTTAAATAAATAATACTTGATGCATTTTCCATTTATTTTGCTATTGTTGCTTAGAGTTGTAGTTTTGACGTTAATAAATGAACTCTCGACTAATAAAAAATGATTCTATTATACAACTGTGATCGATGAGAAACAAGTTTTTTATTGCGTGAGTAAGAAATAGAAGGAAAAAAAATCTTTATTCTTGACCTATGGATCTATTCCTACCAGTAAATAACCGGGACATGTTTAAAAAAGAAAACGAGTATTATTTTATGGAGACAAAAAGTTTTAACATTGATAAAGAAAAAAGAACATTAGATTCCCGGTTGTTTTATAAAGCGATCTTGTGTAGTAGAAACGTTAAGAAGAAAAAAAAAAGAAATATTGGACACATCTCCATTTACTTTTTATTTGATTTTATATTGTTCTTGTCGTTCACGAGTTTTTTTTACGCTTATGATAGCAAATAGTGTTCGATCAGAATAAAAAAAAACTAGTTGTTACATTGAACAAATAATATATAAGTTTAATAATTCATACTTTTCTTCTCATCGTTTGTTTGAAAATAAATGACAAAAGATCTCTTGCATTATAATGATATTTTAAATCGAAATATATGATTGATGAAATGATTTCATGCATTACCAAATATATTTTATTCTTATAATATTTTGATCTTATTCTAGATGAAATAAATGTTTTTAATATTATTAAGTAGAAATCTTTGAATTGTTTAATGTTTAAATTATATCATGAATGTACTTTTGATCAATATAAAGTTTTCTGTCAAGATCATAACTATTTGAAGAAACTTATTTGATCAGCATACGTTGTAGGCAAAATTAGAATTCTAGTATTGATTAGACACTCATCAGTCAGAATTGGAATTCCATTTTCACTTTGTGCATAATAGAAATTCTACTACAAATAAATTCATACAATTATGTGTTTTACTAAAAGTAGAGTAGAATGAACTATAAGACAAAACCGTAATTGTAGTGGTTGTGTCTACAAGCGATGTTGATACCAATTTGCATCTTACGATTTCCCTAGTAAATGCACTGACTTCAAGATAACTTGCTATCGTACAGTAAAAAAGTGTGAAATGAGTCATGAGCATAATCTACCGTGTCATAAACCTTGTAAAAGGTTTGTGACCCGCAGCAAATTCTTGACAAAATTTATGAATCAAAAGGATTTAAATACTGGTGATAAATGGATAGAGAAGGTTTATTATTCGATACTTATGTTTTTCTGTATAATGTGTCACAGTAACTCTTTGGTATTCTATAGGTTTTTAGCATTTCACTAAAAAAGGCTTTTAAAATGTTCAATCTACTAAGTTATTGAAACGTTTTTCGCAGAATGCTAAAATAAATGCACAAGTTCCTGCTCAGTTTCCATGTACTGAGATGATTTTCAGAAGAATATTCAATCTATATCCTGTGACATAATGATAACATGGTGCCCGAAAAGGTATTCTGCTGATAAGTGGTACTGTATTCAGATATCTTGAGTTCAGCATACTCACTAAGGCTAATACAAAATGTCTGACTTTCAAATTTAACAACTGGTCGCATTTACAATTGCAAAGGTAAATGTGCTACAAAACAACATGGTTGTACAAACATGAGTGAATAAATTATGATTCTTTATCTTATTCATTGTGAAAATCCTCATGAAGGACATGTTGCACCATCTCATGGTTTTATTCGAGCTGAAAGAATACTGAAAGAACGATTTAGTGTCATTGATTTTGCGTTCGTCGAGCACGAAAAGAAAGATACATGCAAGGCATGAGATAACCTCACATATCTTTGATGTTGTGAAATAAAAAAAACTAATTGTATGATTTCGTTTGTATGAGTTTATTGCTAGTCTACTTTTGATTTAGTTCAGGGAAAACTGAAATTCCAGTTGTGACTGTTCAATAGAAGAATTCAGTTAACACATTTTGATTGAATCTATTCTGTATTAATAATGACCAACACATTTTTTTTCTTCAGACATCTATCTATATTTCTTGGAAAAAATATATTCATGTAAGCATTCATTGCACATGTAATGTTTCATTTTTGTCTATATTGTATTATTAACTATTGAACTTTACTGATAGATGCTCTCCTTCTTTATAAATAGTTCAAACGTAGTATTTTATCAATACACTAATAGCAAAATTAGGTCGAACAATATTATTAGACAGTCCCAATCAAGACAATTACTAAGATGGTCTATTTTGTAAATTTATTAACCAACAACATCACTTTTTATTCTTATATTTTTCCACCTGTTTGAGTCAATATGGTGTAATAACATACAGAAAAAGAAAACACAAAAGAAAGATATAAAGAAAATGTTGATCTTCAATATGTATGTTTATATTATATTGTCAATATACGATACGAAAGAAAGACTGTATGCCAGTTGCATGTTTTTTTTTGTTGGCTCACTGTTACAATAGTGAGAAGAAAAGAAGACTTAGATACTTTTTCTGGTCTTATTCAAATTTAACCATGAGAGAATGTGTAAAATATGAAAAGCACAAGCATATTGGAAATCAGAAAGAGCCATTTAAATGATGTGATTTAAGAGAAGGAAAAAAACAAAGAAAAAAAGTACGAGGAAGAAAGAGATGTGTGTTTTCATTTTGAGTCTAGGGCAAGAATTCAATTTGATTATTGACCAAAACTAAAAACAAACCAAATAAAAAAAAAAAGAAAAGATCAATATGACAATAAGTATATACGATAATTAATTTACCGAGACCAATCGCCAAAAAGTGCTGGAGGTTGTTGAACTGAAGCTAAAATAATAATTTAAAAAATTAAAAAATCCTTGAAGATTTCTAAACTTACGTTTTCTTTGGTCGCCAAATGTCGGTACATATGAAGTTAGTTTTGGACCACGAGCTATACAATATTATAATTATATTTTTATTAAAAAAAAACAAGATTTAAGTAAAATTGTTAAAAAAAAAACAGATATCCTTTATTGAACAAAGTTAACAAAACTGAAGTCCCTCTGTTAATTATAAGTACTGTTGTGTCTATTGTAAAAATGTATTAATTTGAGCCTACAAGTCATGAATATTACATTTAATTTTTTAAGCTCTTTTCATAAACTTTTATGTAACAATCTCATTATAAAAAGACGAACAAAATATATGGTTAGTAAGTTGAATAATAATAAAATAAATGAAATAAATGAATGAAGAGCAAGTATAGATATTGAAATAAGTTATAGCGTGATTCACTTTTTTAATTCTCCTTGTTTCTATGCTTTCCTACGATTTCAGTTGACAATCTATGAGTAAAAATAATGGACATGAAACAAGTTGCTCAATATGAAGAGATTAAAAGAAAGTAGAAACGAAAGATCTTTTCAAAATAAAGAAAATCAAAATACTGAGTTGATGAAACTACATTCAATACTGTTCATTGAGCAGAAGCATCAATGGAAGATAAATGACTAACACATTTTTCAAAGTGGAGGTCTGAATGGACTGACGTGGATAGAAGAAAGCCAGCTCTTTGATATCGTTAATACAAACTATACAGAAAATAGGAGAGAAGTTTATTACAGATGCAACAAAGCCAAACGTCATGAACTCTAATGTAGAGCAAATATTTATCTGTTATATCATGCGGATGGTGAAAAACTCTACTGTTTGTAAAGCGGAAGCTAAGCACGATGATCATAAGGATGTGTGAGTGTGCCAATATGAATGAAATAAAAACGCAAGCAATTCCATACCCCATATCCTATTTTATATGAAAAAAAAAATCTGCGAATAAAATTTGTATTTTTCATTGAACAAATCTGATTTTTTCACTAATAATTAAGTATGATAAACTGACAGTTTCATCTATTTTATTGATCATTGAAATCGAAGTCAAAAAAAAACTATGGCACATACTTGCTGAATTACTATTGTTCGAAAGTTCCGTAAGAAAATTGAAACTGTCACGACGTACTGTCTGTCGAGGATTAATACCTAAACAGTTAATAACCATTCAAATACTAAATTAAATAATACTAAGAAAAAACCAAAATTCTTACCTGGTTTGTACCTTGTACTTCCCAAATAATATTGCTTAGCAGATGGTTTTGTTGTTGAAAATGGTGCTTTGGTTTCACTTTGATCTCGATTATTAATAGTATTATTATTTGTATTTGAAAAAAAGTCATCTGGATTAAGACGCATTGATGGTTTACCAATTACATTAGTTGTTGTTTTTTGTGTAGTTATTTTTTTTGTTAAATTATCATCATTTAACCAATCTGTTAAACTATCTCTTCTTGGTGATGAAGTTGAATCTTTGGCTGGTGCTATTGGAGATAAAAATTTTGATGGTTGTGAAGGTTGAATTGATCGTCCTTGTAATATAGCATCAATATCAAATGATTGATCAACAGATGGTCTATGTGGATGTTTTAAAATTGATGCATGACGATTTTCAGAATTAATATTTGACTTTGAAAATACTGGTATAGTTCCTTTTCGATTATCTGATGTCGTTAAATCATATTTTGGTAATGATGGTACAGATGGTTTTTGTTGTTGAGTATTATCAAATGCAAATCCACTTGTTTGTTTAGTCGACTTTTGTTGTTGATTATTAGTATTTTCTTTTATATTTGATTTACTTGGTTGTTCAAATTCTTTAAGTAATGCATCTAAATCATTCAAATCACTTGAACTAACTGGAGTTTTATTCTAAGGAAGAAAAAAATAAAACAAAACTTTCTTTAATTCATATTTTGTATTAAAGAAAAAAAAGACAATTACTCCATCTGTTTGCCAATCTTCTGTAAAAATTTGTTTAGAATCACGTGATTGAGCTGATGATGTTTCGTTAATGACTGAAACATTTGTGCTTGATGACCCCAATGAATCTTGGCTAACTTTAAAATATGGATGTTTTAAACACTAAAATAATAAAAACTATTAGCAAAATCTTTACGAACTTAAAATGTGCAACACTATGCAGTTACTGTTGCTAATCTTCGAAAGATTATTTTATTCCATCTATTTTAGGGCGCATTTCTTTACCAGAGGCCTGCAAATTAGTCATAAGTCATAGTCATGCATTCATGATAATAATTGTGCAAATAAATGGAAAAATAAAAATGTCTGGCTGTGGTGGACTTAGAGAATAGCGCTAAGGGGAGGAGGCGATCGTCCTAACATTATAAAACATTTTGCAAGTCGGCCTAAACAAAAAATACTTTAAATGTTGACTTTATGTGAAATACAATCTTCGTCATCGCTCTCATGTTTATCATCAGGTTTCCTTTTTCACTATTTTATAGAGACCTGCATAGTGATCATGCAGATCTTTATTCTCTACTCATCTTTTTACATAATTCTACAGAAATACAATAAGGAACTAGTAATCTCTAATTAGTGTTTATCATGATCTGAAAGGCTGTTCTAGAATCTTTACTCCTACAGTGCAACAATCCTTTTAGATATTTTTTCAGAAAAAATTCGTTATACTTGTGTAGCATTGGGCCGTCGCTTAGGTTCCCAATTGAGTGTTGCTCCAATAAGATCAATTCCATCGTTATTTGAACTATGAATAATTTTTTTCAGATCTGTTCGAGCACATTGTGGCCAACGAAATGAAAGTTTAGCTGCTAGCATAAAACCTTCAGGCCATTCATCCTTAAAAAATGACAATGATTTGAAAAAAAAGAACAAAATTAAAGTTAAAAAAAAAAAGAAATTTACTCTACTCGGCGTTCCCATAACAGCACAAATTTTAAACATTTGATCAATTTCACTACTACCAGGAAATAATGGTCTTAATGTATATAATTCAGCAGCGATACAACCAACTAAAAAGTTCGATTTCAATCGATAATATTTTCATAAAAATTTTTTCATTTACCTGCCCATATATCAATTGGAGATGTGTATGAAGTAGAACGAAGTAGCACCTCAGGAGCACGATACCATCTTGTAGATACACTAAATATATAATATAGATTTTTGGAAATTCATCTAATTAAAGAATAGTTACTAATCAGTATAAGGTGGTCTTGAACGAAGTTCACGAGCAAGACCAAAATCAGCTATTTTAATTAATTCAACGCCTTTGCACAAAATATTTTCAGGTTTTAAATCACGATGGAAGAATCCTAAAAGAAATTAGAAATGAAACATTTTTTAGAAATTATTATAAACAATAAAAAGAGTTCATAAGTATTCTTTTCGATGGTATGATTGTAAACTAGTTTAGACTTGTTGTTCATCATTTATAAATATATTATCGATCTGATCCTATTGTATTAACGTTGTTAAAACATTTAAAAATTTTTAAACACGATAAACATTGTTTTTTTTCTAGAAAAAGAAGCATTCATTTCGAATAATGATTATAGAATATTGATGGTAATTCTTCGGATAAAAATACTTCAAGCCAAAATAATAATTCATATACCATAGTCTGACAAAAATAATTATAACATCAACAAAATGATCTATGTATCTGTGTAAACCTCATAAAAGCCTATTTGTAAATGAAAATTGAATTCGAAAATAAGCTATTGGTGTCAAATCTCGTCTTTTTAAGTTCACGGTAACTTATTATAACAAATACTCTACAGGTAATCAATTGATTTATATTCTAAGTTTAGGATTGTAGTAAATTCGCTATTTAAAATATCAAATAGCTGAAATTCACATCGTAGAAAGATATATGAAAGTTCTAGTTTAACTAAAATTTTCATTTCATTAGATTGAACTGTGACGACTTTACCAGAATAGACAGTCACGATAATGCACACATTCAAAAGGAGTCCAGTCATAAGAGCGATTCAGCAAAGCTCATATTCCTGAAAATTTTCTCATTGTGAACAAGATATTTTCATGTATGTCTGTGATCAAGACAGCAGATTATCACAACGGTGAAATTTTTTTTTTTTGAAAGTTTGTTCCTGCAAAGGATTATCATTAGAATATTACGGTATCGACTCTAAGCGACTTTTTTAGACTCATTAATGTCAAACTATAGTTTGAACTTCGATGACATTACATCTAAGAGAATGTACTGAATTTAGAGTACCTTTACGAGTATCCTATCCTACTACCAGTCTGTCATAAAAACCTTCAGGTACTTTATGACCTTTAAGTACTCGAATATAAAACAGTTCTAAATATTCAATCGACTAACTTGTTGAACATTTTTATATGATGCCATAGGAACTGGGCAAATACCTAGTATGTATCCATTTACTGAGACACATGTCGGTAGGATGCTTAAAAAGGTACCACGCTGCTAATTGGCCTAGTACATAGGTACTTGAACTCACGAGAGAACATTCCCAACTGTCCCATCGTTTTTGAGTTCAGACTTTATGCATAAGGTAGATCCCAGTGATGTATGAAAACTCCTAGAAGAACAAGTCCCCTTAGGCCTTCTGTCTAGAGTTATAGGCATTTTACCGAAATTTTAGCCTTTGGCATGGTATATACCGATAAATCGAATGACTGTATTTCGATCTGAGATTTTGTCCATAGATAGATCTATTTGTGAGTAGAATATCCTGAAAATTTCAGCTCAAAAGAATGTTTTATTCCTGAGATATTAGTCCCAAAAAACAGTAAATTCTAGCATCTTTCGTGGGATATTATTGATTTTTGGGACTTTAATATCTCAGGAATAAAACATTCTTTTGAGCTCAAATTTTCAGAGTATTCTACTCACAAATAGATCTATTTGTGGGCAAAATCTTAGGTCGAAATACCATCATTTGATTTGTCGGTATTTACCATGCCAAAGGCAAATTTCGGTAAAATGCCTATAACTCTAGACAGAAGGCCTAAGGCCACTTATTCTTCTGGGATTTTTCATACGTCACTGGGATCTACCTTATGCATCGAGTCCGAACTCAAAAACGATGGGACACTTGGGAATGTTCTCTCGTCAGTATACTCACAAGAAACTATTCAGTAATTAATTACTTCAGTAAGACTTCAAATCAAATTAGGTCGCTAAATTCAAAGTGAAAAAAAAATGCATGTAAGCATACAGCATCTTAAATTGATCAAGATGTGACTGTGATCTTGTCTTCACTCATATTCTCAAGAGCTCTGTTCCATTTTAAACAGAAGATAAAAGATGTTTATTAAATTCAAGAAATCAAAGAAAATAAAATTATTTTCTCGTATTTCGTTCTTTGTTTCTTATATCAGGTGCGAGTGTCGAGTGAATAAGTTCGATCTTTTTTCTTCGAGAAAACTTCTGCTCAACTTTGGCCAACCACGGCCTTTATTAGCTAGACAGAGAGTTTTCTTTTTTCCATATAAAATCATAATTCAAGGGTGTTTTTTGATTATACTAACTTATCCAAAGTCATTGTGAGGATTCTTATAGCCAAACATAATTGTAAAAGTTAATAAAATTTTCTTTAGTATTTTAAAATTCTCTTACCAAGTTTATGCATATAAGTTAATCCTTGAAGTAGTTGAAAAATAACATTACGAACATTTGTCTCTGGAAATAATCGGTCTCTATAAAAAAAAGAAGAAAACAATCATATATCTCGTATCTTAGAAGTAATTAAAATATTTACCGTTTTTTCATTAATTCATAAAGATTTTCATTCATGTACTGAAAAAAATAAAATAAAAATTTTTATCAAAGAAAATCTATTCAAAATAAATTTACTTCAAAAATCATATATAAATTATTATCTTCTCTTATAACTTCTTTTAATTTAATAACATTAGCATGACGAATTTTTTGTAAAGCCTATCAAATGAAAATTTCAAAATTTTTTTTTTCAATAAATAATTAACTTTATCCATTACTTTAACTTCTCGTAGATCCATACATTCTTGCCATGAATCTAGAAATCGATATATAATTCATTTATAAAAATTAAAACTTCTATTCAACTTACAATATTTCTTTTTCATTCTAAGAATAAATAATTAAAGAAAAACAAATAAACAAATCATTGACACAAATAAATAATTTATATTTTTACCGTTTAATAGCAACTTTTTCTTGTGGTGAATCTTTAACTTGAGCAAGTAAAACACTTCCATATGTACCATCACCAAGTTGTTTGATTATTTTATATTTTTCCATGTGAAAAAAATATCGATTATATTAAATTTTTTTTGTTAAAAAAAATAAAAAAGATTTTCTAGATAAATAATCAAAACAATCATATATCAGTTCATCAAAGCCTATGTTCATCTAAAAAAACAACAGAAGAATAAAATAATTCACAAAGAAAAAAAAATAAGAAAATAATGAGTACGTCAATCTAGCTTTCTTCTATTAGCTGTCATAAGCTAAAGACAGCTTCATTATTGATGTCGTTACCTAAACTCTACCTTTCTAGTTATTGAACTCTATATAAATGCAAAATAAATAATCTTTTAGATGAATACTTACGACATCTGTAGACTTACAATTTAGCAATGCTGATATGCAGATTAGAAACTAAAAGAAAATTGTATGGCGTAATTACTGTTATTGTGAAACGAAATACTTATCAAATAATAAGAACGTTTCATTTACTGTTAATGATAAAGATATATTTTTTTTAAATATAGGCATGTATTAACATATAAAGTATTGATTTCACTAAACACAAAAACTCTTTTAACTGTAGGAAAAGTTTTCAATGAATATCAAAAGTCTTGTTCCATTGTTAATTTTTAATTCATGAAATAATCGAAAAGATTATTACTTTAAAATGATTATATACATGTACAGTAAAAGTTGTATGTAATAAAAAATATATGCAGTTTAATACTGACAAACAACAAATGGCTTGAAGACAAAAAAAGACAACATGAGTTCTTTAATGATTTAATACTGTCTACAATCGTTTATTCATCACATGATAGAAGTATAAGTGAAAGGAATATCAACGATCAAATTCTAATTGACTATGGAATAAAATAGAATTCGTTACTGCTTGGAAAAAAAGTTAAGTTATGGTTATGAGCAAGAAAATGCATGGTATAAGAGCCAAAGAAGGTATTAAAAAATATTAAAATCATTCTGATATTACATATGAATCAGATATATATGGACAAAACTAGACTGAACAGAGGACACGATCCTTTACAGTTTGATTTTAATTAGTTATAAGAATTATTTTTATTAACAAGTTCTTTTCCGATGAGTGTATGTAAAGATATTGGTTCTATCAGCTCATTTCCAGTTGAACGTACTTGAAGAACAATATGCGTAATCTAAGGACGGAAAAGTTCAAGAATTTCAGAAGAGACTCCGTGCTAGAGACTGCATCTATGATGAAATTTTCACCAAGACCCAGTTTCCAAACAATCGATTTCCTGAGATCTGCTCATGTCACGAAATGAGACTTCTAGTTTTGCTATCATCTCCTGACCCTCTAGAAGAATTTGTGCCATGTAGATTTAGCTTTCAACTTTCTCATACAACCAGATAGTATTCGAATTTCAGTCATATAGGAAACGCGGTGCGAGGCATGAATATCGATTTTCGAAAAAAAAACGAATTATTGTTGTCGGAATCTATCGTAAGTCGTTCTTCCGTTGAAGATGTTCACGTTTTACTGGAATCAAACAACTTCTTTTGTCGTCATCGTGAAGCTCATTACAACGAGAACTCTATTAATGCCTGTTTCAACGCTATCAATTGATGATTTAATTATCTACAAGGTGTGTATGGATTAGCAAGCGTGTTGGTAATCGAAATGTCCTCACCCACAACAGAAAAAGTAAGTTTGGTTTGTACACTTCAGTATGTATCCGAAAGATTGTCTGTGTCCAAAAAATAAATGAACAGTACTTGTGTTTTCAATGTTTTTTTCACAATATAGTCATTCTGAAAACATGATTGAAGTTCCTTGTTTGGCGCATCTCTGTTTTTTTTTATGGAAAATTGAATAGTTTCTTTTTTTCCAGTTTCATTTGGATTATCAGCAATTACTCTTGAAGTACAAGTCGACGAGATCCTAAGATCTAATTGCATCGAGTCAGTTTGATCCTAATCAGACGATTTGAAGATTTTTCAATCTCGATCAGTGATCGATCTCTCCATATGTTCTTGACTAATGGTTAAAACACTAATGTGTTGACTGAGCACAATGCGACAATTCAAATTGATCTCTGATGGAGAATATTTCATATTGTATCGTATGTTTTCCGAAATGAAAATCATTGCGAAAAATCATTCTTATTTCTATCAATCGTATACTTTGTTGTGGTGCTCGTATACAGTTCGACCATAGAGCCTTTACGACCATAAACAGTTTAATGCGGTTCGCTCAAATCCCATCTTGTATCGTACATTTAGTCCATGATTGACGGTCGTATTTTCGTTTTATATACATCATAGTTCTACCAAATTCGGCCAGCGTAAATTATCCTACATCGCCGCTCGGCATTGTACGTACATAAACTTTACATACTGATTGCTTTTACGGTCAAATTAATGCGAGTTTATTTTATGTGAGAAGTCGGCTCCATAATACTGGTTGTGAGATGATCTACTCCAATTAACCAACATCTAAAAGAGCTTCTGCAGTGAGGGTGTGGGTGTGGATGTGGGGTGAGGGTGTGGGTGTGGATGTGGGGTGAGGGTGTGAGGTGGGGGTGTGGGGTGGGGGTATGGGGTGGGGTGTGGCTGTGGCTGTGGCTGTATTGGTGAAGAGAAGACTCACACCACCCTCACCCCCACCCCCGACACCCACCCACACCCATCCACACACACCCACACCCTCAATCTGGGTATAAATGCAAAACACATCAGCTGGAGAATCTCTCACAAATGATAATTGTCTTCGAAGATTAATCGATTGTTATTATTACTCGTGTTAACATCCTATTATGCAGTTTGATAAAAGTCAAAATATTCATAGTGACTATTCTCTAATAGTTAGAATTTGATCAGTTCATGCTCTTTGTGTTAAGTAAATGGCAACTATGTCAAACCAATACATCAATAATCATCATTTTTGATATTCATGATATAATTAGTTATCCGTGTAGAAATATCTAGAACAGTTATTAATGCCATTTAACGTCTTTCTCCATTACTAAGAAAAAGTACCCAAGTCATTCTTACTACCCTTGTTACGAGCGGATAGGACAGCCACAAAAATTATATTTTCCTTCGAAATACGCAATGTGTGTCTTACAGAAGTATGAAACTATTTATTGTAAGAAGAAATCGGATTGTTTTGACAAACAGTCATAAAATAACAGTAAAACTCTCATTGAAGGATACACTATATCTAATAGTTATCTTTATTTTTCTCTAAACTTTTTTGATAATGATATGTATGAATAAAATTTAGTTAAATAAAAAAAAACTTTATGAATTATTAAGTTTTGTTTAATTGACTATGCATAATTACTTAAATTTGTATATAAATCATTTCATTCCTAGGATAAAAAAACAATCAAAGGATCACACCAAGATTTCTAACTTACCATCAAACAATATATTCGGATCATTTGTTTTTGATGTTAATAATTGTATACATGTCATATCTAAATGTTTTATATTTATCATTTTTTCGATCATCAATATGTGTCATAATGATGAGAAAGAATAAATAATCGAGAAAAAAATAATTTTTTTTTTTCATAGATATGAAGTTGATTCTTCAAGTCAATGTTGTGAACGATTAGTAGATAATGATGAATTAAGACTTGTTAGTGTTTGTGAAGGATGACATTTTAATGAAGTTAGAACAGTATATTGTAGATAGATCATTCTTGTATGTGAAGAGATACTTTTGGACATGTATAGTTCAGATAAAGTTTCACCAGTTGTTAATTGATGAGAACAATAAGGCAAACAATATGGTATTGATGCTCTTTATTTTTGGAACATAAATAAAGAATTGATGAGTATGGGTGAAATCAATTTTCATTTTGCAAACAGTAATATTTATCTAATTTTATTATTTAATATATAATTAGTAAGAGCAGTGCAAATTACGTCAGATATTCTATTTGAATAGAAATTTCATGTTGAAAAATTCTTTTACTTGTCTGCTAGCTATGTGTACATCAATCATATATAAACACTCTTATACTGTCTTATTCACGCACTGAAGATAGTAAAAGCTTTTTAACAGTGTGGTTTTGTAGAGAATATTTTCCCATAGAAAACTCTTATATTTAGAATGTCAGAAGTAAAACCGTTACTCTAGTGCTATGTAGATAGAGGATAAAATTTAGAACAATGCACTCTTAGGGAGATGTATATCCACTCTGTTGCTGGAATTGCAATAAACTTTTTCACTCTTGCTATTTGTAATGCAACAAAAGTATGGAGGTGAAGAGATATAATCGATTTTGATTTCAAATAGTTATAAGAATATCGTACAGAAAAAGATTCTCTACAAATCTAGTATTTTCTTTGATGCATGAATAAAATCGTACACATATTTAGTACGCAAGAATTACATAGCTGTGGTATAAAGAGATTTCAATCAATAGCAATAGGATTTCAATTAACATAAGGGCGAGAAATGATTTCATCTAGATTCGATTCTGCTCTGTCAAAGGTTTTCATTATTTCTCTTGTTCACAATCACTGACTGGAGACTAGTTCACCAATTTCATTTATTTCGAGTAAAGTATAAAGACAAAAGTGTCAAAATCACCATTTTGTAAAATATACCGAAGATGAATGAAAACTCTTGTTCAAGATTCAAAAAACGGTTGGATCATCTCGATATGTGGATATCCCTGATACAGTTCGAACAAATTTCTAGCAACTTACTGTTCTCTAGAATATTACGACACTAAGTACAGATTTTTTTACAGCAAAAAATACGTAAAATATGGAAATCAAATGCTGTGCTTAGCACCACATTAATTAAAAGACAACTTTTTATTGATACATGTGTATTCATTCATGTTGCTAACAACCAATAAACTCAGTGTTTTGAATAACATCAGTATGTTCAGGAAAAATGTTGCATAGAAATTTGTGCTGCTAGACAAATTCTCTACGAAATGCACTATTTAGTTTTCAAAAACTGTCTTTGAACTTGCAGGATTTGTACATGAACATCTTTGTTTTTTTTTCATCGTATCATGCCTAATGACTGGATCTGTATAAAGCTTTAA